AGACAGTTGTCGAGCTCTAACCAACTGAGCTATAGAGAGACAGTTGTCGAGCTCTAACCAACTGAGCTATAGAGAGACAGTTGTCGAGCTCTAACCAACTGAGCTACAGAGAGACAGTTGTCGAGCTCTAACCACAAGTCCATGTATAAATACTAAGGTGAAGCCAATGTAAGGTGTATGGGTAAATGTCAGAGCTTTGACCATCTCACTCCGATATATAACTAATTGTTGAAGAGATTTATGGAGAACCTCACTAGATTACTTATTTTACTAGATCCAAAATTTTGGACATAGCAATTATGAAATAGTTTTGTTGATGGAAATTTTGAGAGTGAATTTTATACACATACGCCCGTATTCTAAAAGCTCACTCACACTCAATGAGTGGAGATTCAATGTGAGCTTCCCTTGAGTGTCAGTGCTGTTTTTGAATAGCTGGAGGGCTAGTGTCGTACCTTACTATGTGACTACTCGCTCTCCAGCTATTCAAAAACAGCATTGACACTCAAGGGAAGCTCAGATTGAACCTCCACTCATCGAGTGTGAGTGAGCCTTTAGAATACCGGCGATATAGTCTTATAGACCTAACCAGGCCGGGAGCAATTGCGAGAAATTCAACCCATCGCAAATGATGTAAATATTTTTTTCTTACCTTTCCGAACAGATTGATGACATTTGGTTCTCCTTGATATGTAATCCGAACATCAAAGATGACACGGTTTATTGAATATAAAGTATCTGAGTTTGATATTTACATGCAATGGCCAAAATCTCTTCATAACCGGATGGCCGTGGGCGGCACTAAGAGCTGCTTCGGAAACACAAAATTGAGTGGAGTTACGTAAAAGGCGAGTGGGCATCTTACAAAATAATAAAATATAAAATAATAATAAAAATAATAAAACATGCTAAAATAGAGCAAGATAAAGACGGTACCATTCATTCAAACAATTTTTATTCAGGAAGTTAAAAAGTACTACTACCACTGTTCACACTTGTTGACAACTTGCTACAAGATTGTTGAGCTCAACAGACTTGTTACAAGTTGTTCGGTTCCAACAACTTGTTATCGTCCTGCAATTCGTCAATGTTGTCAACAAGTTGTGAGTGACAACCTTGTAGCAACTTGATAAACCAACAGCATTGTTACAACTTGTTGACAAGCTTGCTACAAGACTGTTGCGAACACATCTTGTTGACAAGTTGTGAGTGACAACCTTGTAGCAATTTGATAAACTAACAGCATTGTTACAACTTGTTGACAAGCTTGCTAGCTTGTTACAAGCACATATTATGTTGACAAGTTGTAAGATTTTACCACTGTTCACACGAAGTCGCCACGCGTTCCATTTTCATCTCGCTCCGTTTAGAAATCATGCATGCTCAAAAACGTCGCTTTTGCGGCGACAATTTGAGCACGGTTTCTAAACGGAGTGAGACGAAAACGGAGGGCTTGGCGGCTTTGTATGAACACGAACGCCGTTTTTGTATCACTTGGAAACCTAAACATCTGAAAACAGTCTCCGAAAACAGTAAATTCGAATGCTTTTTTATGAAATCTCTTTGCTCTATTGGGTTTACATGAGTGCTAATTTAACTTCTAAACAAACTATTACGGCTTAGTGTGAGCAGAGGTAAAACGCGACGTCATTGTCGAGGAAAACCCCATGTGAGAGGAAGGGAGAAAGACCAATTACATGTTATTAACATTCTGATACCTTAAAATCGGTTTTCCGGTGACGTTACAAACGTTAATGTAAATGAATTTAGCAATAAAATAACCTGTTATTAAAAAGAGTTTCAGCAGCATTTCCTGTTTTTTGTCTCTGTTAAGATACTGTATTCCTCTCTAAACTTTTGGTTGCGTGTATTTTGAGCATTTATATATGTACGTATAGCTGGTCCGAGTGTGCAACCGAATCTTTCACTTGTTGCATTTCACACTTGTTGTGTTTCACACGGCGGGATGTGCTGCATTTATTTAAATTCACGTGACCACAAATCAGCCAATCACGTTTAGTTTGAGCACTAGCTCTACAACAATGAATATTAAATTAAAGAAAAAAAATGTTTTGCTTTCATCTCTGAATGTTTTTTTCCACGCGCCACAACGTCCGTAGTTTTCTATCCAGTAATATTCGCTGAGTTTTGTCATTCTCAACTGAGTTGCATCTGTTATTCATCAGTGCTCTACACTACATTCTCATTTTCTACTCGACATATTTTATCACAGAGTTGGTAACAGGTCTTTTTTTGCACGTCTAAGTCAATGTACAAGTCATGCCACGTCACAAATAATTTGGTTCAAGTCATGTCATAAGTCATTTGTTGCAAGTCATGCCAAGTTACAAGTCATTTCTTGCAAATCATGCCAAATTACAAGTCATTTCTTGCAAATCATGCCAAGTTGCAAGTCATTTCTTGCAAGTTAATAATAAGCCAAGTCATAAGTAATTTCTTGCAAATCATGCCAAGCCAATAGTCATTTGGTTCGAGTTGTAAAAAGAACTGTATACAGAATGACTTGTGACTTACAATTAATACAACAACTATTTAATATTGTAAAATTAAAACACTGAAAAGCCCCTGTTGGGGAGTTGTCAATAGAGTATTGTGTTGCATTGCATTGCATTGCATTGCATTGCATTGCATTCAGGGGCCGCGGAACCGGGGGGGCAATGGGGGCATGTGCCCCCCCACTTTTCTTAAAAGTGAAAAAAGTGCCCTTTTTTCTGGGCTAAAATGCCCCATTTAAAGAACGGAAAAAGTATTTCTTGAATAAACGCCCTCTTTTTCTGGAAAGAAAATGCCCTTTTCGCAGTAGTAAAGACTCTGTAAAGGCCATTTCCGACGTTAGAGAGACTCCATATTTTCAAAAATTTTCGTTCGGCTCGTGAACGTCATAAAATCGTTTGATTCTGGTCATATACAAAAGTGCCCCTTTCGGTCAATGCCCCTCCACTTTCGAAATGCTTCCGCGGCCTCTGATTGCATTGCATTGTATTGTATTGCATTGTATTGCATTGCATTGCATTGCATTGTGAGTCATTTTGACAGTGACCAAATCAAGATGCAAGTCATTCTCCTGTACAGTTATTTTTACCATGAACTGGTCATACTGCAATATGCCAATCTGGTTCCACTGTAGTCGCTGTACAAGAGTTAATTAACAATTATTCGCCGAAGGCGAGGTGATTATCGGGGAATATTCACCTTGTTTTAATATTTTCACACAAGTCTTTCGTCGTGTTTTTTGGGACTGAATTTGTTTTTAAATTTGCTAATTTCTTTATCAGTAACTTCCACAAAATGGCTAGCCGCCATTTTGCAAATTTCGGTTTTGTTATATTCACCTGTAGGTGTATATAACAGCTTAATACGTCAAATTTGACCAATCAACGTGTAGGGTTTGTTATATTCACTTGTGCAAAACTTGCGTTGGTGACAAGTCATTTAATTCTTGCAAGTCCAGCCATGTCATTTTGTTCGAATCCAAGTCAAGTCACAAGTTATTAATCTGATTAGCAAGTTAAGTTAAAAATCACAAAAATTGCGACTCAAGTCCAAGTCCCTTGACTTGTCAGTCTACCACTCTGTTTTCAATCATTTCATTTATTTTTCAGATAGTATTGTCGTCCTATTTACGACACTAAAAGAAGTCTGTTGTTGTTGTTGTGATGTGGGGAAGACGATTAACAATGATGATCACACGAATCCTGAAGAACTCTTATCAAACAACTTATAAAATTGTCTGCAAGCTATTATCTCGGTAAGTTAACTTCGCATTGTTATGTAGAGAGATGTCTCTGGATATGAAACAAGTTTATAGGAGATTTATTTAAAAGATACGTGGTTTCTGATTGGCTAACAGCCAACTGTGAAATCGTCATATCAACTCAATAACCGACCCAAATATGGAGTTCTGACATAATATTGAACGGAGTGACGTCATAGCGTTCAATATGAAAAAATCATATTCACACGTCATGCTGTGAAATATGAATACGAAATGTGGAAACACGACCAACACAATATGGCGTCTCCTTCGACCGTGTTCGCAGGTTTGATTAAAAATCTTGATTTGATTTGACGGAACAGATTTTATTATTTAAACAAGCTTTCGTTGGTGGGGATGCAACTACCTGAAAAATATAAGGAGAATTTCGACGCTTCGAGCGAAGGACCTTCGTAACTCTAGACTATTGGTACTACCAACACTACCTGAGTTCAGATATCGAAAGGATCCAAAGACGATGTTTAAGAAGGATATTTCCTGAAAGCTCTTATGAAGAGGCGCTCGAATTAGCCAATCTAGAAACCTTACGAAACAGAAGAGAAGCAGCATGTAAAAAACTTTTCCTTCAAGCACACTTGGATACCAAGCATAAACTACATCAAATGATCCCAGAGGAAAACGGGTGTACATATCCCTTAAGGAAATGTCATAAATTTCTAGTCCCTAAGTTTCGAACAACGTTTTAGGAACTCCTTCATTATATCTAATGGTATAAGTGTATAAATTCTTAACTTTATTTCGTGTCAATTATAGCCTATAGTTTTATTGTAAATATAGTTAGTTCTTTGCATGAAATAATTCAATTGTAAATACTCGTAAGCAATTCAGTATTACCAACTGTAAATTACGATTTGATTAAACCTGTCCTATCTATCTATCTATCAATCACTCACTCACTGGCACAGACAGTGTACCGTTATTATTTCACTTTTTGGCAAGTTGCATGCATGTCGGTCTATGGCAAAAAGGGCCGACATTCCTTGTCAAACTTCCTTGTCTGCATGAAGGCCACTCACGTCTGTCGGTTATTTTAATAAGGAAAAATTGTTCTTGAGTACAGGCCAACGAGGAAAAGCTGATTCCTATGCGCTGTTAAAAAGCGATTTGTCCGGAAAACGTCTCGGTTTTTTTCGCTGAGAGGAAAGGCGTATAGAGGAAATTTAAATGGACTTTGTAACTTGCTATATTTTCTATATGCTCTTTGTAGGGCAAAAGGAAAAACTAGCGAACTATAGTGTCTGATAGGTTTTGATAGTAAAGATATTTCTGCCTGTCCATATGTATGATTAGTCGTACATGTACAATTCTTATTCTGGCGTTTGTAATCGAATAAACGCGCCTAAGGCCTGGTTTCCATATAGTCGTAACGGTCGTAAAGATTGAGTCACGATCTTTCTCATCAGCCGAAATACAATATTTTAGAACTGAAAATACGCGGGGTGATTATAACTAGAGAATACTCATGATTTATATGTGGTTTACAGGTATAAACTATTATAAACTGGCCGTTAAGAAAGATCGAGACATCAAGAAGGTTGCATTTCAAATTTCGCCATAAAACTAAACGAAGAAGAATTGTGGCATCGGCAGCAATTTTCATACGCCAGAATGACAATCGTGTACGACTATATAATTGTATCGTGTAGATTGACTTTCGGACGAAGAAAACGTGTCATTTTTTCGATGAGTGCATGGGCGCGGTGTAGTGAAAAGGATATACGATCGAAGTGCATGCATGAATATGCAAACTTCTCTTTAATGACAACGCTATTTTCCGTATTCTTGGGAAGTTGAATTTGTTTTATTCGATCAGGTTAATTGTTCTTCCAATTCAATAGCTTCAGCTGGTCGGCAACAAACGGCAAATCGCACATGATAAATTTCACGATACCGTATACAATAGAATACGCTTTTGAACTCCCCCGAACTTTCAAAAGCCAATTACATACAAAAATTGATCAAAGTAGATGAAACCCTAACGCATTAGTATAATTCCTATATTAGGTACTGTATTAGTATAATTATCAACTTTTGCTACCGATTTGCAACTACACAATTTCCGACAAAGAGATTAAGATTTTGCCAACAATGCTAGGGCATATATAATGAACACTTTCGATGTAGGGCTCAGCTATTTGGTTCCGCTATAGGCAATGCCCAATCTAAGGCTACAAATAAGCAATACTCATTATACCTCCACGCTCAATGTTTTAAGATTATGTCTCAGTTAAGGACAACCTTTTTTGAATTAGCTGTATATCCTTGCACAAGAACGGGAAAACTGTCATACTAAGCTTGTTCATGGCACAACATGCGTTTTATATCAAGTACTATACGCTTACCTAATTACATACTTAGCCTAGACTATTTTATATTTTACAACAATTGTCAGCCGTGTATGTTATCTAAAAAGTAGTCGCAAATTTTAAACTACACTTTGTTTACATGTCGACGTAGTCGAGTTGTGTGCTTGCTTTATACAGTACAACTCAAGTTATGGGCAGGATATGCGATAGTTAATTTAGGCAAAAGTTGTGTGGTGTAAAATCGGCCCTAACGCAATGAATAACTCCGCAAAACGCAGCGCAGTATTTCTTCGCTGGCAAGTGTTCAATGTTCCTCGGATCCTCAAGTTGCCTTTTTCAAATGTTCCTCAATTATATTGGTTGTAAAATTGCTGAGGGAACAAAGCAATCTTGAAATTCTATGGAAAACACTTCACGCAATCTCAAAATAGACTCAAGTGGCAGATAACTAAATATGATTCCTTAAAATTCTCCCTTAAAGTGCGCGTGACTAGAAATTCAAAATGTTCCTCAATCTTGTTGCTAAGGCAAATGCTCCTCAGGATCCCGAGATCCCATTTTTTTCCAGGTCTGCAACTAAGTTTTTGTAATATTTTCGTAGTATATCCTTGATGTTGTGAAACAAAGAGTATATGTCGATAAAGGCCATGTACTTTGGCGTATTCTACCGATATAATAGAGAGTTTACGATATACGACGCAATGCAAGACAAAAATTGCGAATAATTCGTGGTCCCAGGGGTATTGTCAACGGCGTTGTCATTCTCAACACAACGTTGAACAAGCATTATCACGTCTCGACCCGGCAAGAAGTGTTACTTAAAGTCGAAATTACAGCAAACGTTGCATCGCTTTAGCCGAATTTAGCAGTTTGCAAGGCTATTTGAAAAAGCGCCAAAATTTATCACAGTAATCAAATTGCTTAGCTGAAATTCTTGAGCTGAAATTCAGACCGCGTGGTTGAGCCGACCGCGTCGTACATCGAAATCTCTCTAAAATAAACAAGGCTCGCGCAGTCAAACCGCCAAAGTGGTGAATTGCCGTTTGCCGTCGAAAATTACGAGGTTGTATTAAGTCTAATAAGCTGCATATTGTGTTTGCCACCTGCGAGACACCCGCCTGCCTGCGTGGGGCGGGGAAATATTGAATAACGAAAACCTTAACCCAGCATGCGGGCGTTCATTTACACACACTCGACTGTCGCGACAAATTTTCCGCGCCGTTAACTTCCTTAATCCGTTCTGCGCAGCGGGAAGGCAGCGCTAATTTTGGCGCCAAAATAGAGTCCTTACTTTCACAATGCCATATTTTGCTTCGATTATAGAATCAAGATTAAATTCCATTGTCTGGGCATTAGCTAAGCTCTTTCTTATGAGAAAAGCATTGCAATACTTGATAACCGAAGCGATTGTTTGCTTGTGCTTGTCAATATTGGCTTTTGGATGAATTAGCTCATTTCGTATGCGTAATTAAGTGCCTCTATATATTGAAGTTACTCGTGACTGTACTGAATGAAGTCGCTTGCAGAGGTTTTGTCAGTCATTTTACAATAGTGGGTGGCGCCGTGGGTTACCCATTTGTGTCCATTGTTTGTAAGATTATTTCATTAATTAAAGGCCCTGTCACACTATTGCGTATGAGAGAAACGTATGAGAAGCGTATGAAAATTAATGAAATAATTTTTATACGCGCAAGAGTCCTTTGAAATGCTAGGCTGCTAGCGTATGCATACCGTACATCTGGTGTACCTCTAGCGCATTCAGCGTGGCTAGAGTATGCTTATCATATAAACCATACGTCGGAATACACACAAAATTTTTGAGCATGGCTTAAAAAAAGTTTCTGCCTCGCCATATGCCAGCGTATGTCACCATATACGACCATGCTTGAACCGTATACAACCTATGCCTGACGTACCCCTAGAGTATGTCAGCGTTTTCCCGGCGTATGAGTGATATTTTTCATACGCTGGCATACGCTAGTACGATACGCAATAGTGTGACAGGGCCTTTAGGACAGTGTATGTGGACCTTACTTTGTGCTAATTCACTGTAAACGTGGGGGTCCAGTGAAGGTAGTATTGTGGTTTCTATCTGAAATACGCAAAGAAGTTTATATGTTAATCTTTTTCCAGTAGTTCAGACAAAAACATGGCTGGCAGGTTTGCTTTACTTTACTCGTGTGCTGTGCTCAACTTCGCCGCCCAGTCTCTTACCTCTTGTGGAGGGAAGACCCTGGTAGGAGCTGGTCACGTTATCTTATGGAGGAGAAGACCCTTGGGAGCTGGTCATGTGATCTCCTACAGATTTCTAATTAACTATATTGGATTCCTTTAAAATCAAACTTACAAAACGAAATGCAAGTTACGAAATAAAGTATAAATATCAAATATTCATCATCATCAATTAAAAATCTGCTAGATTTTAGCAGTTCAAGTGACCAGCTCCTGCCAGGGTCTTTCCTCCACAAGAGGCAAGAGCCTGGGAACGAGGTTGTACCGTACCCTACCGTATTGTGTTGTGCATTTTCTATTATTTTACGTTATGTGAAGCAAAATTTAAAAATCAATAAATTTGGGCTCGTGTGATGTTTGCACCAGCCATGTAAATAGTGGAAAATTTGGCCACAGAAAATCATCCCGCCTCATATCTCGTCCTGGCAAAGCGGGATCATATAAACAACCCCTTATTCAGCAAATTGTGCATGTTGATCCCTTGGGTGTGAGGCAGCACTTTCCTTGCGATAGCAACTCCTAGTATATAACCATCACGTGTAGATTGACATCATTGCGGGAACCACTGAGGCCACTGAGTATTTTACAAAATACGAAAAGTCGAAAACAGTATAGTATACAGAGTCCTGGAATTCAAAAACAAAAAATCAAGGCCTTAAAATTCAAAGTCCTTGAATTATACTTTTCCAGACCAGTATACACCGTAAAAAAAATTATATATGGGGAATGTTGACACGACCAGACTGTACCTGACACCATTGACCTTTCCAGCTGTCCTATTGATATTTGATCTTATTAAAACAACGACATTTTTACCTTTGGCGATTTTCATACTGCACTCTGTGTATGCATAGGATGATTATCATTACCATGGCTAGAATGACCAAACACACGCTAGTTTCTCTGGTATTCGTATTCTTGATGGTTGCGCAGTGTTGTTCGGCTGCGAAGATTTTAATCCTTGGTATGCCGTATTACAGCCATCTTTCTGGGCCTGCAAACGTCGGGAAATTTTTACAAAGTCAAGGACATGACGTTCGCATTGCCATTCCACCTCAGATGAAAGAAAAAATGGAGAGGCATGGTGTTCAGTTGTTGCTGTACAATGGCTTGGGTGAATTCCCCGAAGATCGCTATCTGCAGGATTTGATTTTGAAACTCTATTTCGAACACACTCCGTCACAACTAAGTCGACTGTACTACAAGAAAGATAATCTTGTAGTAGTGACAGTCCGCAATACTGCAACGAAAATAATAAAAGATACTATCCTACGCAAAAATATTGAAAAATTCAAGCCAGATTTAATTATACTGGACTCGAATCCACTTACTATTATGTTAACTTTAATACCGTACAAATTGGATATTCCTTTTGTTATGATGGGATCTCTGGGTTCCCCTCAGTGCAAGCGAACGCCAGTCCTACCAACTGTATTTCCGATGAAGTTTTTACCTTTCACGGACCAAATGACTTTCCAACAACGCTTGCTCAATACCTTCGTGGAATTGCTATCATATCGGCGAAATCCATTTATTAATTCGTCGCTTATTGAGGAATATGTCCCCGAGAAACCGCATATTTCGCTGATAGACCTTCAAGCCAAAGCGCAATTGTGGATAACCAGACAACACAGTGTACTAGATTATAACCACCCTACAATGCCCAATGAAAAGACAGTCGCTCACCTTCAGAATCTCACCTCCAAAGCGCTTCCCCCAGACCTCCAGTCGTTTATGGAAAATGCCGATAATGGTGTGGTCATTGTCTCGTTTGGTTCAGTTTTAAATTTACCGTCACAAGTGAAGGAGAAATTATTGTCAGCATTTCAACAAACAAAATATAAATTCATTATGCGAACTGCAGATATACAGCACAATAACCGATCTGATAAATTCATGTTTCGAAAATGGCTTCCTCAGTACGACTTGCTCCGCCATCACAAGACAAAACTGTTTATCTCTCACTGTGGATCAAATGGTTTACAAGAAGCATTGTTTGCCGGGGTACCTATACTTGGTTTTCCAATAATTGGTGATCAGCCAAATAATGCTGGAAAAATTATCCGAAAAGTTTATGGCTTAAAACTGGACCTCAAGTCATTTTCAGTTCAGGAATTGGTTTCCGCAATCAATGAAGTGACCACGAATCCTAAGTATAAAGCTAACGTGGAAAAGGCTTCGGCCATTTTGAAATCCGAGAGAGTTCCACCTATTGAAGAGGCAGCGTTCTGGATTAACCATGTGCTCAAATTTGGTGGTGCCCACTTGAGATCGTATGCGCAGGATATTCCATTATGGAAATACCTTGGCCTGGATATTATTGCTTTCTGTTTGCTTATTTGGCATGTGTTTGTTTTCTTAATCATAATCACTCTGAAGTATTGTTTATCGCGGTGCTGTATGAGCAAACAAAAATTAAAGGATGAGTAAATTAGATGATAGTCTAAAAAACACCCTAGGCCTCGGTTGTGCCATGGCTACTACTAAAAAGCGATACAGCGATACAACGATACAGCGATACAGGAACCGGAACCTGGAACCGTGCATAAATTATGCAAATTAGAGCATTTTGCACCACAGGAGATATACATAATAATAATTTACAGGGGGGGCGGGGGCGCAATTCAATGATAGTCTAAAATATTATGTGCAAGGCATTTTGATTTTTAAATTAAACAAAACAAAGAATGAACATCGTTGTAGCACTACATAGTAAAACATGTTTCGTAATTGCGCGGCGATTCTTCTTATCTGTTTTGATATGACTGCATGTGACGACGCACTCAGTTTATTTAGCCGCCGCACTTGACTACGAATTCCCAGCAGACAGAGGAAACCACGCACGCAAAGCAGATTGCGCTGAATCCCGTGGCTGAATTCAGCATGGAGTGTAGTCTATGATGCAATCCAACATTAAATATGCTATATACACTGCGAATATTGCGAATATAAACTAATAAAATAAATATCAGCTGCATGCTGGCTAAAAGTATCCGCTTGAAAATCAATCACAAACATAAATGAAGTTTATATGAAGGAGTCAATGTAAAATATTCATTTAATAAATGAAAAATTGATTTGTCTGATTGAAATTCAGCGTCGAAAACATATAGATAACTTCATTGAAGTTTGGTCGCTTTAACAGCTTCTTCAATGTCATATTTTGCTTTTATAATGTCGGAAACGGCACTTGATAGTACTATATTTAAACCACGATAATACAAAAATGTGACAAATGTTGTAGCTATATCCAGTTAGTTGTGAGTAGCCTGTTACAACTAACAAGTTAAACTCAAAAGGGTGTACACATTATACGTACTGTTGAAGGCATAACAACAATATAGATTTATTTTTGATATTTTGTTATACTTATAGTTGCCTTTGGAGATTATATAATATAATGTTAGACCAGGAAAGGGGGAAATCTGAAATCTGACTCGACTCGGTTATATTAGGGTAAGAGACACGACTAATGAAGCGGATATCAGTTTTAGTCATGCAGCATATTCGCAATAGTCGCGTATTCCGAATACGGCAGCGTATATAGCACATTCAGTGTTGGATTGCTTCATACACTACATACACTACACTCTAATTATTTAGCGCACAATTGCTAGCGAATTCAGCGCAATATGCTTTGCGTGCCGTAGTTTCCTTCTCTGTCTGTTGCATTTCCGTCGTAATCAAGTGCGGCGGCTAAATAAAGATCAATAAACTCAGTGCGTCACATGCAGTCGTATCAAAACAGACAAAAAGAATCGCCGCGCGCGCAATTACAAAACATGTTTTACTTCGTAATATATAGTGCTACAACGATGTTCATTCTTTGTTTTGTTTAATTTAAAAATCAAAATGCCTTGCATATTATATGTTAGACTATCATTGAATTGCGCCCCCCCCCCGTAAATTATTATTATGTATATCTCCTGTGGTGCAAAATGCTCTAATTTGCATAATTTATGCACGGTTCCAGGTTCCGGTACCAGGTTCCGGTTCCTGTATCGCTGTATCGTTGTATCGCTGTATCGCTTTTTAGTAGTAGCCGTTGTGCCATAGGTTTATAGGAAACTCGATTCAGACATAATAGTTTATAGACCTCATTATTTATGTTTTTCGCTTCATCGTCACGTGTGTATTGTTTTTTTCGCTTGAGCAAACAATAGCAGTGTGTTGGTTTAGTTACCCAGTCATATTACACAATGGGGCCAAAAAAAATGTGGGTTTCCGGTTTCTTCTTATAAAAACTTAGCTAGGGTAGGTCGGTTTTAACTTTTTTTTTAAAACTTTTTTTTTTAATTTTCCGAACAAGCGGACGCCATTTTGTTTAGTCAGTGCTTCCACATCCAAAGATAAATTTCCCTAATATTTCCTCAAATTTCAATTTTCCACAAACTTTTTCCTCTAAGTGGAAACAATTACAAGCATGATCCAATAAAAAAGTTTAGGGTCGGGATTTCGACGTCCGAAAGCTAGATAGGGTCGGGAAACCGGAAACCCACATATTTTTTTTTGGCCAGGTTATAAATGAAAACGTAGCTATTGTATGGTTACTCTAGCGCAAATACAATACACACCTGACGATGAACCGACCATTTCTTGCATAGACCAAGACTATGTGTTGTGAAAGAAAGAGTATGTCGAAAAAGGCCATGTATTTTGGAGAGCAGAACTTGTTTAGGCTGGCTTGGAAAATCTACGGGGTTTTACTGTATATATCACTAAACTTTATTCGCCTCTTGGAAGTACTTATCTTTAAACAACCCTTCAGAAACAATAGTCAGTGAATTCACATAAAACACCCCATACGACTAGTCGAATGTTTTAACTGTTGGCGTGATTATGAGCAGTGAAAGAGATATCAATAACGTGGCAGTTTAAACCGGCTACGACGTACTAGGAAATACAATTTATAAGGTCCCTTTTTTCTCAGAGTAAATATGCTATTGTTGATGAGCACGCCTCGATGACGTTGCCATAGTATTTCCCAAACTCAATATTGTGTTTATATACACCGCCTCACGACTACACGTCACGCCTGTATTTACCGGAAGCCACACCCACGTTGTCGGTAAAATTATGGTGCTACACCCACTAGCTACACCGCCTCACTGGTAATTTTTTTCAAAAATCTTACCATGTAAACAGTGTGTATCTTCGTTGGAATGAGTACGGAAATTCAATTTTTATGCTAATTGCAATTTCCGGAAAACATACTTGGAATAATTATGCCATCTTGTAAACTCAAGATATGAGTTACTTAAAGAAAACAATTAAGACATAAATTATGGTGTGATATATTTCGACTCTATTTCAGGATTAGGCAATTCCAGCTTTTAGTTTATGCGTGCAGGGGACGATGGGAAGACGGGAAGTAAGGTCTCATATTGAGTCGGTGCAAAAAAGAGCTTTAAAAATCGCGTATCCCCATCTATCTTATGATGAAGCATTACACAAAAGTAACATTAAACTACTGAGTACAAGAAGAGAAGAAGCATGTAGGAAATTAATTAACTCACTTCGAGACCAAGATTCGCCACACAACCCTTTAACTGCAATAGTTAAATCCGGTCTACCAGACCGAACTCATAATTATGATCTGCGTAATAATAATCCGCAACTCTTACCGATAATGTCTGAACGGTTAAAGAACTTTTTTACCATTAAATATAGTTAACATTTTATGAATACATTTTTATAATAGGTAGTTTAATAGTTAGAGTATATTATCGTAATCTACCCTAATTTAGGATAGAATACATATTATCATACTATATAACATTGTTAACGTAAATTTTAATATTTAATATTGTAAATATTGTTTCCATGTAATTCAGCTTTAGCTGCAAAATGGATTTTATTAAACTAATAATAATAATAATATTGCTGATTATGCTGAAAAAATAGAAATGGTGGCCGTGTAAACACGGATTGATAGCTTATACTTGTAAATATTGAAATATTTCGGTTGTTTCGGCAGTTTTTATTGGAAATTTTTCAGCATAATCAGCACTATGATACCTTACTTCCCATCATCCCCTGCACGCATAAACTAAAAGCTGGAATTGCCTATTAGTTTGGTTTGACAACGAACCTGAACTACAGTCGAACTATCAGCACCATAATTTGTCAGTGTCTTGTTTTCTTTGAATAACTCGTATCTTGAGTTTACAAGATGGCATTATATTGTCGGAGTACGCTTTTTACGATAGTACTTAAAGATAAAGCGTGCTAATTCTTGCAAAGCATTCCAATGTAAATACCTAGGGCCTGTTGTATTTTTGTGGGTGGTCGCCTATTAAAGTTAACCATAGTTGGTGGAAAAGTCAACCAATCGCGTATTATAAAGTTAACAACTATTTAACTACGAAACGGGTAGTAAAAAGGCCCATTTAAGGTGGAGTTACACGAGCAACAAAATTGCTGGAACTTGCAACAAAATCTGATTTCAACGCATGTTAAATGAAAATTTTTACACAACATTACAAATCGCAAGGCAACATGTGTCGACATTCCTACTTAACATGCGTTGAAATCAGATTTTGTTGCAAGTTGCAGCAATTTTGTTGTTCGTGCCTACTTAATTAACATGCGTTGAAATCAGATTTTGTTGCAAGTTGCAGCAATTTTGTTGCTCGTGCCTACTTAATTAACATGCGTTGAAATCAGATTTTGTTGCAAGTTGCAGCAATTTTGTTGTTCGTGCCTACTTAATTAACATGCGTTGAAATCAGATTTTGTTGCAAGTTGCAGCAATTTTGTTGTTCGTGCCTACTTAATTAACATGCGTTGAAATCAGATTTTGTTGCAAGTTGCAGCAATTTTGTTGCTCGTGCCTACTTAATTAACATGCGTTGAAATCAGATTTTGTTGCAAGTTGCAGCAATTTTGTTGTTCGTGCCTACTTAATTAACATGCGTTGAAATCAGATTTTGTTGCAAGTTGCAGCAATTTTGTTGCTCGTGCCTACTTAATTAACATGCGTTGAAATCAGATTTTGTTGCAAGTTGCAGCAATTTTGTTGCTCGTGCCTACTTAATTAACATGCGTTGAAATCAGATTTTGTTGCAAGTTGCAGCAATTTTGTTGTTCGTGCCTACTTAATTAACATGCGTTGAAATCAGATTTTGTTGCAAGTTGCAGCAATTTTGTTGCTCGTAACTCCACTTACATTAACATGCGTTGAAATCAGATTTTGTTGCAAGTTGCAGCAATTTTGTTGCTCGTGCCTACTTAATTAACATGCGTTGAAATCAGATTTTGTTGCAAGTTGCAGCAATTTTGTTGTTCGTGCCTACTTAATTAACATGCGTTGAAATCAGATTTTGTTGCAAGTTGCAGCAATTTTGTTGCTCGTATAACTCCAGCTTACACTTGCAATTTCTGCTGCGATTTGTAGTGCAATTTTCTTCTGATGGATGTGAAGGAGTGAATGAGTTATAAATGCTCAGATGAAGGAACATATACCATTGAACTATAAATAAACTGGAAGGCTAACTGCTATGATGAAGGCCTATGATTTGATGAAGCCAAAATA